TCGATTTCAGAAGATATAAGAGCTAGAAATTTAAAATTTTTTTTTAAATTGTCCGTATTTACAGAGCGGATATCAAGTTTATCATTAAAAATCGATAACTCATCCCGATTTCTTATCGATAAAAAACCTCATCGAAAACCAGTTATAAAATTATATCTTCTACACCTTTATTGCTAGAGTCTCCAAACGTTTTATGTATGCTTATATGCAATTTATACAATTTCGGTTTTTGTTAAAATTTACCCCCCACCCTTATATCCACCCCCTCACCCTCACTTTTGTAAAAAGCGTATTTCAAATACTAGAGAGTTGTGCTTTGGCAAATACATGCATATCTATGTTATAATCATAATCTAAAAGTTTCATGACGATCGTATGTCCACAAAAGAATTGTTGTAAACCAATCAAGTCCTCATAGGAAGCGCACAATGCAGCAAATGCGTGTTTATGCGTGGGTGATTGTGTGCGTATGTGTTTGTGTGTGTGCATGTGTGTATGCAGTCTCGACTACAGCATTCTTGTTAATAGTTTGGTTATTCTAGCAGATTCTTAGTATCCCATCAGCAGTTGGTTTGGTTTAGTTTTGGTAGATGGCGCTGCAGCAGTGAATCCATTTCAGTTTTGCCACCGCAGCTTCCAAAAGTGAGGTGGCGTAGTGAGTAGCTGCGTGACACTTGATTGAGAAGTCGTGGGTTCGAATTCCGAGCGGTGCAACTTATGTTAATTTTTTTAATTTGTTCAAAATGTTTTTATATTTTATTAAGTGAGTTTTGTATTTCATTTATATTTTTAAATACATCAAAATTGAAATTTTAGCCATACTAAATGGGCATCATTATTTGTTGGGTTCAGGGTAGTATCTAGTCGAGCACTCTCGACTAGAGTTTTCTTACTTGTTTCATTAATCTTTATAGAATCAGAACATTAGCCCATTTGCTTTAGCCAAATGGGCCATAGCTTGTTGGTCTTGGGGGATCAGCGTTCTAGCTTTTCAACTAATATGATTTCTGGCATATCGGAAAATGAACTTTCCGATTTGCCACGCCCCTAGTGGTCGGATCGGGAACATTCACAACTATGTATTCCAAATTTCAAGTCTCTAGCTTTAATAGCGTCGAAATAAACTGCGTTCATACGGACAGACGGACGGACATTGCACAAAACCGACATACTCATTTCACTCTTGTGAATGAGTATAAAAATTGGTCTTGGCAGTGCTTGTTAGTAGATGTTGTTAGAAGTGTTAAGTTTTAGATTTAAATGTTATATTATTCTATAGGTCTGATCATGCTCATCGGCTTGATTGCCTATATATCTATACTGAAGGCGGAGATTGGCTCCAAGCTGCGATCGCGATCCACACTACAGCCAGCACTCTTCAAGGTGAGCTATGGGCAGAGCTTCTTCTTGTTCGTCTTTGGGTTCATTGCCACCGAGTTTGTCGGAGTGCTAAACATTTTTCTCTTCATCAACATGCACGAGATGAACTACTACAGTGTAAGTATAGCTGCACACCGGTCCCAGCATCCTCAGCGGAAATGGCTAAGGGGAGGGCAAAAAGAGGAGCAAAGGATGGGGACGTGGGAGCAAGGACTGACGTCATTTCCGTTTGAGCGAGCCACCACCGACAGACAGGACTCTGGCTGCTTCTTAAAGTTCTCTGAGCATTTGAATGTTGTTAATCATACCATAAATCATAACCAATGCGCATCTTTATTGGGAATAGTAAACCTTCTGTATGATAAACCTTTAGGCTTTTCAAGTTATTCAAGTTTAAAAATATTGATTGAATCATTGAATTCTCGCATTATCATTTGATTGACCACTCGGAGCACTCTTGGCAGAGCCGTTGGTCCGGCGAGTCGTCGAGCTGTCGAGTCGAGTGTCATAAATATGTGAGCTCTTGCAATATTTCCTCAGCTGTGGCCCATGCGAAGCATATTTATTTAATTCAATTGTAGAATTTTACGATTATTGGCGGTCAAGCCAGCCTTCGTAAGGAGTCAGCAGTAACTGCCCGTTAGAGCATTGCACAAGAGTTTACTGCATATTCTCTGCGCTTTAAGATTGTTTTACTCTTTTTCCAACAGCGACTACCCTGCTTTAGTTTGACCAACATACATTCCACCACCAAGGAAGACGAGGATTATAATGTGCTCAGCCACTCGTACAGGCGCTATCACCAGCCGAACACGGCAACGGCGACGGCTGCCGGCCAGGAGGCGATGCCAGTGGCGGTGCGGGAGTCGCAATATCAAGCTGGTCAGCAGCAGCAGCAGGTGCGATCGGTGGCCCAGCGCTCGAGCAATGCACGATTGCACCAAGTGCATGATGCTAGACGTGGACCCAGCCAGACGCAGACGCTGCCCGCAGGCTATGCGTGCCGCAAGCATCCGAACGCCAATGGAGGCGACTCCAATCAGAATCTTTATCTACACAACGATCTTGAACGTCGGTAAGTAGAGGTGGCTAATGGACAAAAAACGAAACTCTAACTAGCAGTGGGTGACTCTCTACAGCTTCTACTTTGAGAAGCCCGCAGTCTCCAAGTGCAATTTGCACTCTCGCAGCTTTGCCAAGTCATTGAACGAGCTGTGTCTCGAGCCACTCTCAAGACCAGCACCAGCCCCACCGCCACCGCCACCACCGACTACAAATATGTTTGCCGATTTGCCACAGGAGTTTCCGCTAACGCGCTCCGTGTCGACCACCACAGATATCTACACAGTGCCAACGGCGATCCAGCTGAAGCGCAAACAGCTGCGCAACATGGCCACCAACACTCGCACGGACCAGCGCGACGAAGAAGAGGAGCAAACGGCGCAGCTGTGCGGGCTGAAGCGCGGCCTGCGCAAGACTAAGGATGAGCTATTCCAGGAATTCTGCAAGCGGGCTGGAATGCGCGCCAAGCCAAAGAATATCTACTATATTCCCAGCGAGGATCCGGATGATGCGCCCCCGCTCCAAGAACCACAGCCCCAACGGCGCGGCTACGAGGAGAGCCAAAAGAGCCATCACAAGATGCATGATGAAGATGACGCCGATGGCGACGATCATGGATTCCGACAGTTTCGCTCTGGCCCCAAAAAAAACGAAGAACATCTCTATATAGTCGGCGGTAAATTAAAAAAATATCTAATCTAAAATAATCTATAGATCATCAGGGCCATAGTGAATCAAATGATAACTGATACCTGGGAATTCTTCATTAGTAGGTCAAGGCTATTATTCTTTGGCAGTACCACTGTAACTGTAGGCGATTGTAGACCCATTTGTTCATTTACACGACTACATTTCAATATGTGGCAATATATGGGGACAGCATTTGTTGGTCCCAAACAGAATTGGATGAATGAGTCAATTAAATAGATGTTCGCCTAGAGTCATTTAAGGAACGAAATGAAGTGGCCAGATGGCAAGACTTGAAAAGGCTCCCGTCCATAGCTAAGGAGAAATATTATAACTCGAAGACTTGGGAGCAGCGGTTAAGGCTTCCTTGATTCACTGTCGAAAATCCATAGCTGATGAGTGTGCCGTAAGTATGGGACCGTTTCGCCAGCAAATGCTAAGCAACGTCAGCAGAATGAGCTTGCTGAGGATCTGAGAATATGTAGTCGTTATATATGTAGGAGAGTCTTAAGTGAATCCGCATATAAAATTCGATGGGCTTCTATTTGTTTCTATAAGGTATTACTTGTAATGTCTGTTAATTTCATATGCAGATCACGCTCAGCTGGTCATGCCTCGGCGAGTGTCCATGTGCGTGGAGCCTATGCTGCCGGCGCAGCAGTTGCGGAAACTGAACTCCAATATGTCGCTGCACATGCCACAAACAGAGGTGTGGCCCTGGATGGCGCAACCACGTCTCGTCTCGGAGCATGGTCAGAGCCGGACGCTACCGCGCTGCTTCCTGCGCCAAACAGCCGGCAGTCAGGACAGCCTGGGCTCACTGCAAAGCAGCTACAGCGCCAGCCAGCTGCGTTTCTCGCAGCTGATGCAGCAGCATCAGCAGCAACTGCATCAGCAGAATCGTTATCTGTCCACGCTGACGCTGCCCCGGGCCGTCGATGAGGCTCAGATCAAACCGCAGTCGCAACAGCAGCATCAGCAGCAGCCGCTGCCACAGCCACAGGCGCAACCGCAGACACAGTCGGCGGTGCAGTGGCCTTCGGCTATACCATCCTCGCCGTCCAACTATGCCAACGGCTATCCAATGCCGCAGCCACATTACGCTCCGGCTATTGCTGTGCCGGTTTCCAGCAGCATCGCCGGCTCGCATCCGCCCAAGTTCCAGCGCGCCTACGCCTTCGACGATGCCCAGCGCCGGGCTAGCCAGGCTAGCTGTGCCGCTTCGGAAGCCTTCGATCTGGACGAGATGGAGCGCGAGCGTAGACGCTCCCATGCCAGTCTCTTCGGTGGCCCAGGTATGCCGCAGACGCGGGAGCAATACGACCTCATCAATGGCACCGCGGTTTAGACCGAAGCAAGAAGCCTAAGCCCGGAGAGCTAGCTGTAGTATGTCACGGTCAAACCTTCGAAATCAAATTGGTTGTATCTGAATCTCAATGTTGACTGTTAAATGAAAAGTTGCAACATGAATAACTCTTAAGTACGGTTTCTCCAATTCATTTATTCGTGTCATAGAACGATTGCAAGACATATGAATCTATATATCTATCTCGCTCTTCATGCGTATATATTCCTAGAGTGCTCTTTCAATGTGGATCCTATGTAATAACATTTATAATTTTAAGTGTCTGTCATCATATTTTATCATAGCTTTCATTAAATGTATGTTCTCCATTAAATGCATGTATATTCAGATATAGATAATACTGATGTAACTGTAAAATTTAGTAGCTGCTATTCTATCAAGAATATATATACACAGATATACATGTAGATATTGGCATATAAAGATATATAAAGATATATATATATATACATATATACATGTATATATATAAGATTGCCTCACTCTTCATTGAATTAGAGGAGAATGGGACTGGGGACGATTGCTTCACACAAACATGCCCAGCAAAGCAAACGTCGACATTTCATCACAGATTCATGCGTCTCCAGAACTCAGGACTATGCGACGTCGGCGAGCTGGATGACGCGTGCGATGCGGATGAGACGCTGCTTACCAGCTGGGCGTACACCTCCCGCATGGCTATGGGTGGGGTGTCCAGGCTACCGGCCAGGCTGCTTGAGTTGGTCGTCGTGTTGCCAACATCGCTGATTGCGTCCAACAGCCCCATCAGATTGGATCCGGCAATCGTGGCTGTAGACAGCTCCGTTCGGCAGCTGGGCGCAGTATGCGGTCGATGGGCCAAAGCAGTGGCTGGGCATCTGGCGTTCAATATACTTGTGGGCGCACTCCAAGGACGCGTGACTGTCTTCACTTTGGCCATCGGCAAATCATCGAACTTAGCTGGGCTTTGCGCTACTACCTGAGCACCAAACAGCTGATGCAATCTAGCCATGGAGCGCTGCAATTTGCGTCTGGCAGGAGGTGTCACCGGCTCATCACCTCTATTGGCGTCAGCATCTGCCAGAGAAGTGAGCGTGCTGCTGCTACTGCTGCTGCTGCTGCTAATGGCTAGATCTGTTCCCAGTGCTTTCCCAAGCTGCGCTTCGGCGGTTAACAGCTGCAGGCTGCCGGGCTTACAGACTCGCGCCAGTGTCGCCTCTACGCGGCTCATCAGATGCTGCGTCTCGTTCTGCACCTGGGTAGCTATAGCTATTCGCTCACTCACCAGCGCTGGTGCTTCCAGATCCAGCTCTGGAGACACTATTGATGCTGGTGCTGCTGACGTCATTGCTCCCGTTGCTGTCCCTGAAGTTGACTGAAGCTCGGAGAAAAGCTTACGCCTGGCCACGGCAATGGCATTGGTGAACTGATAGCTCTCTTGGTCCATTTCTGAGCTGCTGGTAATGGGCGAAGGTGCAGATGGCAACGCCGCAGTCAGGTTGACATCGTCACAGCGTATGCGACGCTGCCACTCGCGAAAGTTTTCCAAGGTGCGATGGATCTGCTGGCGCTCGCTGGCACAGCTGGCACGTATGTTGATCTTCTGTTTCTGGACACGCGCACGGTCCAGATAGTCCAGGAAACTCTGCTCTAGCAGATCGCTCTCTTGCTCTAGCTGCAGCATCCGATTTCTGTATAGATGGGATTCAGAGTGAATTAGCACTTACACTTGGACCCAGCATGGAATCAACTTACTTGGCGCTAAGTAGTGCTTCATTGAAACTGGACATATCTTGTGGTCTGGCGTCGGCTGTATGTGACCTGCTCTTGCTACAGGTGTTAGTGGCAACATTGTTCTGTACTGCTTTATCTGGATGAGCAGGAGCTGAGATAGGTTCAGAGGAAGTAGAAGCAGCAAGAGCAGGAGAAGCACCAGGCGCAGGAGAAACACCAGGCGCAGGAGAAACACCAGGCGCAGTAGGAACAGTAGGAGCAGCAGAAGCAGCAGTATTATCAACACTCAAGTCTGGTAGATTATGAAGAGGCGCAGGATGAGAGCTAGTCGTGGACGTAGCAGGGCGGCTGTATTCAGTATTCACTTCGTTGGCTTCTTCATCAGTCCACACAGGCTGAATGCGTGCCGTTTGCTCGGCGGCCAGTTCCGTTTGCTGTATCTTCTCCGCAATCAGCCGATGGTGTGCCTCGTAGCGCTCGAGCAGCCGGAATATCTTTTGCACCAGCTCACGTGCTTCCGTGGACTGTGAGTCGCGCTCCACATGTCGGCAGAGCGTCTGCAATTGAAATAAGTAAGATTAGGTGTACAAAGTACTGCAATAGGAGGAATACACACACGCCAGGAGTTTTGCCTGCGACTGAGGCGCATCAGCTCAGCATGATGCCGCATCTTTACTTCGAAGAGCTCATCCAGACGGTGCTTCTGCTGCTCCAGTGCCTTGTTTAGCGACAGCTCGACACGTTCCAGAAAGATCAGACCGCTGCGACTGTGCAGCATCTCATAGATCCACTGCTCGTAGCTGCGCGAAGCCACAGCTGTTTCGGGAGGACATGGGGCTGTTTGGCTAGCGACATCCCGGGAGCCTCTCTGCGCTCTGCGCCTCGGACTGGTGGCTGCGTGCCGCTGCTGCGCGCTTTCCGTTTGAGTCGTACTTGTGTGCACTCTGCGCGGTGGTGGCGGTTTTTTGGTTTGTGACGACCTGTCCTTAAGCCTCTGTTGACGCTGCCACTTCATACCCTCCTGGACGCCCATGTAGTGCCCATGGGAGAAGCCCTCGCGATAGCCCTGCTGGAAGCCCTTACGCATGCCCACGGTATACTCCTGCTCCATAGCCAGGTTGAGCACATTACTCAGCGACTGCACACAGCTCGCGAGCTCACCTACCATTACCCCAAGTCTATCTAGCTTTGAGTGCATACAGACCTGTGTGCTGGAGTCCTGAGGAGTCTGCTGTTGGTATTTCTGCAAAATCTGCTGTACCGTCGCCAGGCTACCCACTTGCTCCACATGTAAGTGTGGCAGCTTTGGCACAGACGGCAAGTCCGCCGGCAGTTGAATGGGGCCAACCGGGGACTCCACAGTGTTTTTGTCCTCGTCCGCCTCTAGCTCTTCCTGTTCTGGCTCCTGTGGCAGCTCGGGCAGCTCTACGGCCATCTCCCCGGCCCCCAGTACTTTTCCCATACCCTGGAGGCGCTGACGTTCCAGCATTTCCTTCTTCAGCAGCTGGTCAAACGCCTTTCTGGAGATGACCTCGATGGGCGGCGCACAAGATTTGCAGAGCGCATCAATAAAGCGCATTAGCTTCGACAGCTGCTCGTCCACGCCATTCAGCGACTGTGAGATGCACTCTCCCATGAAGACAGTGCGTCCATCGACGGCCACAATCAGCTCTTCGGCCTGGTACAGCCCAGTAGTATCTACATCCGGGCTGCACGAAAAACATGCTACCGGCTCTGTTTGCGTGCTCTCCTCCGATTGGCCTGCCGTTGGTGTCATCGTGGACTCGCTGACCTGTTGCAAAACCATGCGGCGCGCACCTACCAAGCTCTGAACCAGCGCGAACAGCAGCGATTGATGCGTTGTGTCGTAGGTCTTATGCACTGTTTGCTCGAGTTCTAGCTGCGGCTGAGGCTCCCGCTGCGTTTCGCCAAGCACTGCAGAGAGCAGCTGTTGCCGCTCCTGCTTACTGAAGCGAAACCGGACGCTGTTTTCAAAGTTGGGCAGTGCATGGCGGTGCGGCATCTCGCTGCTGTAAACGGTGAGTGTGTAATGGCAATTCTGCTCATAGAGAAACTCCGCGACGAGCGTGTGCAGAGCCAAGCCCAAGGGCGACAGCAGTAGGAAGTTCTGCTGCTGGCTCACCTGTACGGAGGTCGACGACAGTCGAGTCAGCAGCTTGCCTGCCGAAGAGAGAGAGAGAGAGTCAAATATACAAATGAAATGGATATGCAACCACGCAGAATGCGTTGCTTACCAAGCGAGCTGCTGTTAAAGCTATTGATAAGCTCCATGCGCAAGTGCGTGTGCATTCTATTTTCGATGCCCTCCTGTGCCAACCACTGACGAAACTCTCGCTCGAATTCCAACTGGGACAGCTGTGAAAAATTCTTCAGCTGCCGACGCAGCTTTGTTGTCTCCTCATCCTCGGAGTCCGAGTCCTTGTCAGAGCCGGAGCCAGCGTGTTGACCAATGGCTACGTTTGCGTCTCCAGCAGCTTGTGTGTGGAGCTGTGTGCCTGTCTGGCTGCGTACTCCAGGAGCCTTATGTTTACCTTTGTCATAGCTGGGCTTGGGCGTTGAGCGCAGTATCGTTGATGTCAGCCTCGGCGCTGGCGTCGGCTTCTGCGTTGGCTTCGGCGTCGGCTTCTGCGCTGGCTTCGGCGTCGGCTTCAGTATCGACTTTGGCGTCTGTTTCATTGTCGGCGTCGACTTCATCATCGGGTTCGCCGGTGGCTTTGGCGGTGGCTTCGGTGTTGGTTTCGATTTCGGCGCCGTTGGTGTTATTGTTGGACGCCTTAATGGGACAGCACGTTTCTGGAGTGCCTGCGCTTCYCTCTCTCTCCTGGCCGCCTCATGCTTCCGTTCACGTTCACATATCAGCTGCGGCTGCGTCTGGAGCAGTTTTAATCTGGTCTCTTCCTCTTTGCTTCGCTGCCTAACGAATGTCAGACGACTGAGGCCGACAACGGTTGCTACAGTGGAAGAGGCAGCAGCACCAGTAGCAGCAGTTGGCCTTTGCTTGGGTTTCATTCCGTTTCGATTTTAGACACTAGCAATTTTGTGCGCATCGGTAGACGTTTTAGTTCTCAGCCTTAGATTTCCCTTATAGCTTCAATCACAATAATTTTCCTATTTAATCGTGCACATCTTACATGGGATTCACTTGCCTGTGTGTAGCTGCTGCTATTTCTGCCTCTTCTTGCCGGCACGGCCAGCGTTTGAAAAATAACCTTTTGGGCGCTGCAGCACAATGTAGACACCACCGTCAGGTGCTCAACTTTGACAGCAGTAGCAGTGCCATCTGCGTCGCAGCCTACCTGCATTCGGCCAAGCGTAACACTGCAGACGCAGTTAAAACACGATTGAGCATTTGTGTAACTGAAACATTTGCTACAGTGGAATTTTTGCAGTAGAATCATATTTACATAGGTATTGCACGAGTGCGTTATCGCTCATGAGCCGCCGAAACCATAACTATTGCTTTTTGGTGAAACATCAATTAAATCTGTCATAAATATACATATATTTGCGTTGAGAAGAGCAAAATATATTTGAAATACAAACGCCGCAACTCTATACTCACTGTCAAAAGCTTGCTTGCGTGTCAATCGATGTATCGTATAAAATATTTCATCTATTGCTGCAACAGAGCTATCTGTAAAGAATGAAAACAAGAACAAGCATTATTGCTTTTAGGTTATACCACTAACCAGACAACACATGTTCTATGGTTAGTGGTTATACTAATCAGATCTATGATGAATATATATTTATTTTGCTCGTTTGGTATGTATATGTATATGTATATGTACATATATGTATATGTGTTCTTTGTTCAGGGATAATATACACTCACGGACAAATGCTGCCTGCGTGCCAATCGATATATCGGATGAAATATGCGTGCTATCGCAATAACAGAGCTATCGGTACAGAATCAAAACAATAATACACAGTTGAACATAATGATGGGATTACACACACATATTTACTTTTAATTTCACAGTTTTAACAGGAATAGCAAAATACGCACAGTCATTATTTGCAGCACGCAATTAAGGCTGGACCGCTTTGATGTCGCAGATCGATAACATCTTCAACCAGGTGCGAGCGCGCCTGCAGACACAAGGCATCAAACTCTGGGAGGAGCCATACTATTCCGATGGCTTGGGCAGCATTGAGGCCTCAATTGAAGTAAGTACATCACCAGGATCCACATCCAAATCGAGGCGATATGTTAATCTTTAGCCCGCAGCGCTTAGCCGAGGAGTACAGCGTCGACTTGGGAATCGACGCCTCAAGATGCAAATACGTGATCATCGAGCTGCAGGATAATGCTCTGCGTAAGTTGGCGGCACGTCGAGAATTCACCGAAACGGGCCTCGCAACGTTCAGGGTCCGACGCGTCGACAATCGCAATGGCACCACTAGCATACTGGACATCAAATGTGACCTAAACGAGCTGGGCTCCAAGCTACAGCAGCTGATTGCGGCCAAGCTGGAGCTGGGCGAAGCCGATGAAGTCAAGTGCATTGCAGCGGGGCACATCATCTCGCCGAACGCAACGCTAACTGCACAGCAGCTGAAGAACAACCAGCAACTCATTGTCATCATTTGCAGGCGGGACGACCAAAACGGCGCCTTGCATGATAGAATCGCCAAGATCAAAGCTGATGTAGAGGCGGTGGTGGCATCCCAGAGTCAGCTTATGGAGGTACGTTGCCAAACTGAGATTGCATTTGCGGCATATAAGTGTAATCTCCTTTCAGATGGAGGATCAGGATGGCAATCCGGTGTTTCTGCCGCCGAACGAGAATCGCGCTCTGCTAACGGGTTTGGGTTACTGCGAGAAGGCGCGTGCTGCAATGCAACGCGAGGATTACGAGGAGGCGCTGCTGTTGCTGCTAGAGGCGGATGAACAGTTCAGTGCGTGTGATTCCAAGTTGCTTGAGTCGGTGGATAATTATGCACTGCTCAACTTGGACATAGTCTGGTGCTATATGTGCCTGAAGAATGTCTCCCAGCTGCCGGATGCCGATCGGCGTTTGAGCATCTGTGAACGTAGCTTCAAACGTAGCTACGGCGAGAACTATTCGCGTCTTTATGCGCTCAAGGGTCGCGGATGTCCAGAGCGCGCGCTCATCATGCGGCTACAGCTGCTCCAGGGCATCGTGCTTTACCATCAGAATCAGCGAGACGCCGCCTACGAGCGCTTAGAGGCAGCTGGCATTGTGTTAAGCGAGCTAAAGGTTAACGACGAGCAATTGCTGCTGCTCGTGGAGATGGGCTTCGAGGTGAGTGAGGCACGCCTCGCCTTGCGCTCCTGCTCGGGCGACGTGGAACGAGCGGTGCAGTATATCCAACAGCGCAAGCAGCAGTTATTAGACGCTCGCAAGCAATCGAAGGAGGAGCGGGCCATGCACCGACGCTATGCTAAGCAGGCGACCCAGGAAAGTGACTGGGTGAATCCTCGCAGTGTATGCACTCTCACCGAAATGGGATTCGAGCGGCGCCTGGCGGCTGCAGCGCTGCGACGCACCGAAAACGATGTAGCACGCGCAGTAAGTGACCAGCTGTATCAGCTTCATATTGAATATCACAGCTTACCTTTGATCGCTTTAGGTGGAGCTGCTGCAAACTAACTCTGCCGAGCTGCGCGACTCGTTGCCTGAATCGCAAAGCGTGGATGCAGTGCTGCTGGCAGCCTTGTTGCAGCTGGGGTTTAAGGAACCAGCTGCTCGGGCTGCTCTCGAAAGCGCAGAAAACAAATTGGAGAGGGCAACGGACTTTCTGCTCAAAGCCATCCAGAGCGAGGAGGAGCTGCTGCAAACTGTGGAGCGCGTCACAGAACTGGCTAAAAGGGGGGCTATCGAGCTGAATGGAGCATCCACTTCGCAGGCAGCCGAGGGGGCACCATCCAGATTCCTCATAGATGCCGTGTTGCAAAAGGCCAAGGCCGAGGTGGAGGCATATCAGGCATTCAAGCGCCTGAATGCTGACTTGACTAACACTGATCAGGATTACCTGGATTTGCCGTTGCTGCAGGAGGAACAGTTACTGGCCGAGTACCGCAATTTGCTAGAGCAATAAAATGAGGCAACCGAGGCTGCTGCAACTTTTGCCTGTTTGTTGTTAGTGTCTAAACGATTGAATTTAATTACGTTCGTTACGGCGGCTCCGGCACGCTATATAAAACCGGTTTAATACATTCGGATAACTGTAATCATGACTTGTGCATTGCAAATCATTCACTTATAATGATACTTAAGTGGCGTTCGTCTTGCTGCTCCTAGTCTCCACATGCCCTCTTCTGACCTGCCTACGAATCTGTTCACAAACGGCATCGCGAATTGTTTTTTTTATACGGAAAACAAATATATACATATGTATATACTTTTTTTGATATTTATATATGCAATGTAATTCGTTGCTTATTAGCGTTGATGTCAATTCATTTTATTTAATCAACAGACTTTGGATCGCTGTCAGGTGCTCAGTTGCTGACCTTCCTGTAGACTTAATCATTTACTTCAATCAATGGAAATGATTAGCATTTTCTGCAAAGAGTACGTTATATATTTAAATTTGAATTAACATCTTAGAGCACTGTACAGTACTTTACAGCACATTGTTCACTGACAAAAGCTGTGTGCTGTCAAATGATCCACCACGCTGGCTTATGAGGGAAACTCAAAAGTGCATTTCGTCTTTTTCAAATATAATGGGAAAAATTCCGAGCCAGTGTTTAAAATTTCATACTGCTTTGTTTTAGTCTGTACATGACATCAGCTACTGCCAATTATCGGAACAGATGAGGCAAAGATGAGTTTTAACGTAACGTTCAACGGAGCGAAGCCCGATTATATTTGGCATTTGTCTGTACAAATATTATGTATATAATAAATAACGCAATTGTTTTTGTCATTCAACTGTCTCATAATATTGAATGTGTAAAATTTTAACAATAAATGTAGTAATGCTTCTATTCTTTTGCTCAAAAATTCGCCAATCGTCTTACATGTGTAAATGATTCAATTTTAATATATATTTTTTATTTGGACGATTTCAAACAGAGTAGAGGATGCTATCAGCAATTTAGTCGCTGAACTTTGAGTTTCTCGCCCAGTTGGCGTAGACACACAATTTTTGGCAAGTTCTTAGAACGAGCCAAAAGTAACGTATTTGCAAAACATGGATGCCCACGCTCCAAAAATGTGAAATTCCACGGTATTTTTCGACATGCCACTTCCCGAAAATCACAATATATTCAGATCTGATTCTCCGCGGCCCTAGTGAGCATGGACATATAAATTGATCGTTATAGAATCGTAAAATTCAAAAATTTCAGCGATCAAGCTTTAAAACTGTAGAGGATATATGCTACGCCATTGGTGGGCGGGAAAATTCATACACCTTAGAATTGGGTATCTGCAAAAAAAACTCAAAATTTCAAGTCACCAGCTTAAAAGCATCGAAAAAAATTACATATATGGACGGACAGCAAGACGGACATTGAACAAAACTAATATACTCATATCACTTTCATGAATGAGTATAATAAAGTTGAATTATTAATGCAAAACCTTCAACTCGGTCAACCATGGACTTCAAATGATAATAGTTTTATGAACTCTCTAAGTTTCGTCTTGCGCATAACTAAAATTACTGATAGGGATCTTTAAGTGCGAGTTGTTTGTTTTAATAACAATAAGCGTGTAATGTATCCATTTTAATTGCCGGTAGACCTAAACTGCAAATAATCCCTCATTTTCGCGCTATTGGATTTATTACATCAACGCATGATACCATATATGAAAGTCTATCCTTAAAAACTACGAAGTCATTTTAGCCTGGATGTTCGGAAAATTAATTATAAGGATTAAAAAGTGAAGTGTTATTAATGAAAGCTAATCACAATTTGATGGGTATCTTCTAGTTTCGACTTGAGAATTTTATTTTATTTCTGGTTCTTTTCTGGTTCGTTTCGTTTATTTTATTTTTATTTTTTTATACCCTGAACCCATTGAAAATGGGAAATCAGGGTATAATGGTTTTGTTGAAATGTATGTAACAGGCAGTAGGAGGCGTGGCAGACCCCATAAATTAATAAATAATTTGGCTCTGTCCGTCTGTCTGTCTGTCCGTCCGTCCGTATGTTTGAACGCATCGATTTCAGAAGATATAAGAGCTAGAGACTTAAAGTTTTTTTTTAATGTTCGTATTTACAGCGCGGATATCGAGTTTATCACTTAAAATCGATAACTCATCCCGTTCGTTTTTATCGATAAGAAACTTTATCGAAAACCAGTTATTAAATTATATCTCCTACACCTTTATTGCTAGAGTCTTCAAATTTTTTATGTATGCTTATATGCAATTTATACAATTTCGGTTTTTGATCATGTTTGTAGAGACTTGTGCTTTGGCAAATACATGCATATCCATGTTATAATCATAATCTAAAAGTTTCATGAAGATCGTATGTCCACAAAAAAGTTATTAAGCAATTAAGTTCTCACATTAAGCGCACACTGCAGCCCATGCTAGTTTATGAGTGGGTGTTTGTGTGTGTATATGTTTGTGTGTGTATACGTTTGTGTATGTGTGTGTGTGTGTGTATGCGTGTGTGCTTGTTTCTTGTGTAAGCTGAAAGACGCGAAAAATTATTGAAATAGGTAATGCTCCAAGGGTTCAGCGGATCTCGTAGTCGAGCAGTCTCGACTAGAGGTTTCTTACTTGTTTATATTTAAATTCACCTTTTTTCCACCACTTAGTGTGAGTTTTTTAATGGCACTGGCGATTACATGTAGTTGATACTCAGCCAAGCGCAGAATTTGGCCATTTATCCGCAAATGAACTTCATTTTGTTATTTTATTTTTGACCATAATAGTTCTGGTTTTGATTTTTGGTACAGCAAATTTAAATGTTTCGTGTTGTGTTATTATTTACTGATATTTATCTAAATGTACAAAGGGAAACCATCCACATATCTGTTTCCATAATGAATATATAGAAATATCACTTACATATGTTCTCGTAGCGAAAAAGTGAAAAGAGTATATTAGTGTTCTGTTTGTCTTTCTCGCTCTCTCTCTGTCTCCTAACTCGCTGTCTCAATAGATGCAAAACATTGGTAAATAATAATATACATATATGTACATGAGAATATACGACGTTTATTAAAAATGTAAGGCCGGGTCTATAGCCCAACTTTACTTAAAGCGTGTTAAATTGGAAATTGCATTAATAGTTTAAATTCTATTATTTTCTAAGTGCAATTAAAGTTACAGAAGTTAAATATGATATTTGGTTAATACAGTTACATCTTTAATGCAATGGCCATAGCCCCAGAAATTTCTATTGACTTCAAATAATATATATATGTATATACATACATATGTCAATCGGGGCAGAGGGGCATTCGCTACGCGCGCAATGTTTTGCGGATAAAATGATCTTAGCTGTTGTGTGAGTTTGAAAAGCCATACTCGAAAAATAAAATATAAAGTATCTTGATCAGGGCGACAAGCTGAGTCGATTTAGCTCTGTCCGTCCATCCGTCCGTCCGTCTGTCCGTATGTTTGAACGCGTCGATCTCAGAAGATATAAGAGCTACAGACTTGAATTTTTTTCCTAGGTCCGTGTATAGCACGCGCATATCGAGTTTTGCTTTAAATATCGATAACTTGTCCCGTTATTTTATTATCGATTAAAAACATTATCGAA